AACACAGCACAGCACATAACATAACACACAGCACAGCACAACACAGACACAACACAGCACAACACAGCACAGCACAGCACAACAACACAACACAACACAACACAACACAGCAACAACACAACACGCACAGCACAACACAAACACAGCACATAACACAGCACAAACACAGCACAACACAACACAGCACAACACAGCACAACACAACACAACACAACACAACACAACACAACACAGCACAACACAACACAACATAACACAGCACAGCACAGCACAACACAACATAACATAACATAGCACAGCACAGCACAGCACAGCACAACATAGCACAGCACAGCACAACACAGCACCACACAACATAACACAGCATAACACAACACAGCACAACACAGCACAACATAACACAGCACAACACAACACAGCACAACACAGCACAACACAACATAACACAGCATAACACAACACAGCACAGTGCAAATTGAGTCACTGTGGAAGAAATTCTCCCCACACACAGTTTCACCACATCAGCTTTCAAATAACAACCCTGTGAGCTGGCGACACAACGTAAGCTGACATTTTACATGACGTCGCGAGGGGTATTTTTAGCCCGAGCCGTGTTCAGCTTAGTTTTTGATCTCCGATTTATTGGGAACGTTATTAGTTATTAGTCCGCATGCTGTGCTGTGCACATGTTTGTTCCATGTGATTGCATTAAGCCACGAGTGGGGCTAGTTGAGAAAGAGAGAGAGAGATTGACAGAGAGAGAGAGGGTGGGGGGACAGTCATTAATAATAATAATAACCCTTGCATTTGTTATATAACTTTATCACGTCTTCGGGAAGTCTCAAAGCGCTTCACAGAATACATTGGAACGTGTAGTGACTGTATTCGTTGTGGGCGAAAGGCGGCAGCCAATTGCGCACAGAGTGGTGTTCGCAACAAACAGTCGCGGATTGAGTGACCCCATTATTTATTTTTTTGAAGGGATTATTATCCCCGGAAAGTGATCCGCCAATCGACTAACAACCGGGTTCCAACTTACTGCCGGGTAAGGAGTGGCGTGACCTAACATTTCCTCGCTCAGCCTAAACGTTTCGCCCCACCCAGGTCCTCTCGCTTGCGAGGCGAGCGCTCTAAGCTACGGGACTCCATACAGTACACACAGCACTCTTTGCTGCCTAATAAACGGGAGCTGCTGATAGCCAGTGCGTGAAACCCCGATACAAGGCGGCAGGCGTGAACTCTGTGCTGAGTGGTCCATGTCATTTATTAAATCAGGGACAGAATTCCCGGTCCGCCAGCGCCCGGATGGTCTGTCAGTGCGTTCGCACGGGCAGAGGCTGGGAGGAAAGAGCTGAGGAAGAAGCCAGGGTGTCCAGCCGATACCGCGAAGCACAGTGAGACGTACTCCCAGGGTGGAAGGCGCTGTGCAAATGTAAACTTAAGAGTGCGTTATTGTGGTATTGTATCTGCAGTCGGGCTGTGGGCGGTGGAGTCTGGGTGTAGGTGTGTGTCACGGACTCCTATGTGGGTGTGTTTCTTCCCGCAGTTTCTCAGGAAAGAGTCGAAACTCGGGCTGAATGGGAGAGTTTTTGCACAATTCTGCACTGTGTTAAATTTCGAGACCAAACCGTCTACTGCCTAGGACAGGGTGGAATTTCAGAGCCTCTCCCTTGTGCATTTAGCGTCCTTCAAACCAATGTGTCTCAGCGTCCATAAAATAATAATAAAAAATAATAATGCGGTCCCTCAATCCGCGGCTGTTTGTGGGACACTGCTGTGTGCCATCGGCTGCCGCATTAAGGTGCTGTATAAAATGCAAGGATTATTATTACTATCATTATTGTTGTTGTGAAAGTTTTTTTGATTATCCTTAAGAAATAATGTATAATATTCTCCATGAAAACAATCATATTATTATTATTATTAAGTGTGGATTATTATTTTGCTTGATTTGTTTGTCTCGTTCAGCGCCTTTTATAGTATTTATAAAAGTCTCAATACAAAAATAAAAGTGTTTATTGCTGCGCGTATCGTTACAGGGCTCCTGCGGCGTCAAAGCGCCTTCGCTTGCGGTGGACACTTTTGAAGTGTAGTGACTGTGGGTTTTTTTGTACGCAAAAGCGTAAGCTCCAGTCATCACGTCTCTTGTTCTCTTACGACTCGCTTCCCGAAGCAGCTCCCCGCGCCACTCACTTCCCCTGTCTCCCCACCCTGTTCCCCCCCCCCGCCGCCCCCGTTCCCCTCCCAACCCCACCCCCCCAACCCCCCTGCTCCCTGGGCCATTACAGGTTGCTAGTTAATAAAGGAGACATTTTTCCCTGCCATGGCTCTGTGTAAACACAGGCTGTTACAGTGAAGAACAGCGGGAGTTTAATTAACATCTGCGTAAAATAACACACCATTCCCCCCTCCCTTCCCCCTCCTCCCCCCACCCCCCCCCGTCCGCGCGCGATAATTTAATCCCTCTCCCATAACTGTGCTCATTAACACCTTCCGGATAATTTCACTTCGATCGCGTCATTAAACAAAAAGCTGATTTTCAAAGCGACAAATACACACCAGAAATAATCATATTAAATTGATGGGGTTTTATGAAGCGGCAGCAGTTTCCTGGAAGTGTTCATTACGGACACAGGAACGTTTCACCTGTAAAGCGTCTGGAGTTCAGTTCAGCTGCCTGTCTGGGATTAG